AGGGTAAAAAAGGCGAACGACATTTCGCTAAGGGCCTTCGTGCTTTTAATATAATATAGATATAGATATAGATACAATATTTTAGTCTCCCTCAAATAAATGGTCAAAATCTGTTGGATTATATTTTTGTTTGTTCTTATTGTTTTATCAATAAAAATCAACCATCTCTTGGTGATTTTAATTCAAATGGAAAAACAAGATCTTTTTTACCGACTGACCAAAAGTAATATATCAAACTACTCATAAATAGAACCATTTCTCACATTAGATGTATTATCTTAAATGATTGTCGTGTTTTATTTCAAACTAAAGCTAAACTATTAATGCCAATTGAATTAATGCCTAGTATTACACATGGTGTGAATGGAAAAATATGGTAAAAATGATTATTTAAATGAATCTTTTTTTTTTTTTAATATAGTCTCTTAATCTCGCCTCTTCTATGGAAAATGAAGCTCTGCATTTGGTATATCTTCTAAGATTTCGTCCAAATTTGTTTAATTGATATGCATTCCCAAAAATCCCATATTTCCCTCGACTTTCCATATTCTTACATGCATTTTCCCACTCTTATATTTTACCTATAAATTGGTAATAATATTTAGCTTTTTTTTCCCATCATTTCTAATACCATTTCTACTCTCATAGTCATGAAAATGAATACTAAAGCTAGTACTCTCTTTCCTACATTTGTCTTCTTAGCTATTTTTCACCTTTCTTTGGTTTTTTGTCGCAAAATAATAAGCAATTGTGATGGAAGTGGCTTCACTCTTGATCTTATCCATCGCGATTCTCCTCTTTCGCCTTACTACAACCCATCAATTACTCATTCAAAACGCCTACGAAACGCCTTCCTTCGATCATTTTCAAGGGAATCTTTTTTCAAGAAAAGTAATGATACAATCCAATCGGATATTATTCCGATCCCAGGAGAATATCTCATGAAAATTTCCATTGGAACTCCACCATTTGAAATTGTAGCCATAGCTGATACTGGTAGTGACTTAACATGGACACAATGTAAGCCTTGCACTAATTGTTTCAAACAAACAGCCCCTATTTTTGATTCCAGAAAAAGCTCTACATATAAAACCATAGGGTGTAATGCTGAAGAATGTGCATTACTAGGGACTTCTTCTTGTGTTAGAGGAAATATTTGTGAATATCAAATGAGTTATGGTGACCAATCACAAACTATTGGTGATCTTGCTTTTGAAAAATTCACATTTCCTTCTACTTCTGGAAATAATGTTTCCATTCCTAATGTTGTGTTTGGTTGTGGTCATGACAATAGTGGCACATTCAATAATTATACTTCTGGTATTATTGGCTTAGGTGGTGGTGAAGTCTCAATTGTCAACCAATTGGATAAACAAATCAAAGGGAAATTCTCTTATTGTTTAATCCCAATAGAATTACAATCATCTATTTCCAATGCCACAAGTCACATCAACTTTGGTAATAGTGCCACTGTATCTGGTCGTGACGTCGTTTCAACTCCCCTGATAAAAAAAGAACCGTCCACGTTCTACTATCTAAATTTGGAAGGTATCACCGTTGGGAATAAGAGGGTGGAATTCAAATCTTCCAACCTTGCTTCTTCTAATGCTTTTGATGGTGATGAAGGTAACATTATAATTGATTCTGGTACGACGTTGACTTTTTTACCTAATGATTTTTACTTGAATTTGGAGTCGATATTGTTGGAATCGATCAATGCTACTAGGATTGATGATCCTTCGGGCACTTTTGGTATCTGTTACGAGTCTAAGAATGGTACTATTGATGCTCCCAAAATTGTCGCGCATTTTACTGATGCAGATTTAGTGTTGGCGCCTTCGAGCACTTTTGCAGAAGTAGAGGAAGGTTTGGTTTGTCTTACATTAGTACCAGCAGAGCAAATTGCTATTTTTGGAAACTTGGCACAGGCCAATTTCCTAATTGGATATGATCTTGTTGATAACAAAGTCTCTTTCAAGCCTACAGATTGCACTAAGTACTAAAGATTTAGTTAAAGGTTGAAAAATTATGTAATGAATTTGGCTTGGCTAGGTAGTGTTATTTTATATATCTTCTACGTTTGTTGGTCGATCTTTTAATGTCATTTTCAGTTTCAAATGTTGTTGATCAATTCTTATGACTTATATTTACTTCAGTCTGATCCTTACTAATGGAGACCTTTTTATTGTGTTCATTGAGCAGTTATTGTTAATTAGTCTTTATGTTCAATGATCTTGTCTGATTTCGAAAGCATTTTTATATGTCAAAATGTTGATCTTAGACAAGCTAGTCGAGCTTTTTCTACTCCATACTTTTTGAGGGTTTGATAGGGTTGATCTTAGACGGTTAGGGGTTAAGGTTGAGTCCACACTATCCTTTCTGTTTATCATAGCCTCGGACCTTAATTACTGGTTATTGTTATGCATATCATCTATTTTATGGTTTTTATGCTTCTATTACTATTTTTATGATTTCTGCTGACGTTACTGATGAATTGTGTCTTTTTGTTTTATGCTTTCCCTTAATTTATGGTTTCCCTTAATTTTGCTACTTATTTCCAACTTCCAGGTAGCACTGGTGTACATAAAATCTGCAAAAATTAAAGTTTATTCTTGCTACTTTATTGTTTTACAAATACTTTTTGGTTCATGTGAATTATTTTCAGTCACTCCAGCCATTCAGATAGACAAGAGACGTAGGCACCTTGTTTCAAGTGACCTTGTTTCAAGTGATATTACGTGATACCGCTTCATTGATTTTTTTTTTTGTAATTATGTATAAATAATAAATAAAATTAAAATACTGAGTATAAATATAAAAATGAAACCACTTGCCGTTACAACATTTTTTCCATTTGTTCACTTTTAAAATATTGATACCGCTTACAAAACCACCGCAGATAGATATGTGCACTGTTTTGTCCAAAGCTACTTGGATTTGAATTTTAGTGATACATAGCCTTGAGTGTATGTCTAGCAATCATAGTAACGATTATAATTCAATGATACACACATTGCAGCAACGTCCAACGTGGCAGCTGACTTGGCGGTTGAGTAGGATTATATGGAAGTTAGCTGAGTAGGATTATTTGAAAGTTAGTTGTCGTGAAAAGTAGTTAGTTGCAATTCTCTATTTTTCAGCTTGTTTTCAACTTCATTTTAATTCCCATTTGTATAAGTAGTGAATTGTAATAGATGGAAGATTATTCTGAATAGAAAATACTGATTTCCCATCTCTCTTCTCTCTCTGGTCTCTCTCTCTCTCTCTCTCCTCTTTTCCTCTAATTCCCTTCTTTGTTCCTTCTTCTTCTTCCTTCATTTCACTGTCTATCGCAACTTGATACCTTATTGGTATCAATTGGTATCAAAGCTAATCGATTCCGATGGGACCACGACGAGCTATAGATGAGATTCAAGGTGTTCCAGCCGCTAATCTTTAGGAACAATATGAGGATTTAGCAGCTCAGCAATTGGATCTATGAGCTTACATGGATCAGATGCATCAGAAGCTTAAGGAAGACATGGACCGCGGGCAAATTGAGCTCGTTCAGTTGGTTAGTGCTCTTAGAAGCTCATTCGAAGGAACGCATTTGTATCAGCAAGCGAAGGATGGTAGCTCCACTTCCATAGATCGAATTCACACTGCTGCACCAGGTCAGGGCATTTTAGGCCCAAATCCTCAATATGTTGCTAATAATCGCAATCACAATCTGGTATTTCCTCGTTTTAATGGTGAAAACTTAAAAAATTGGTTGTATCGAATTGAACGGTATTTTGCTATGGATAATACCCCCCCTTAATGAACGAGTAAGGTTAGTGGCGATGAATCTAGATGATGAAGCTTTGGCTTGACATCAAGCTTTTTTAAAATGTAGAGGTAATATGGTTTACCTGAATGGGAGGAATACTTGGTTGTGTTGGTTGAAACATTTGGGGATGAGTTTGTTGATCTCATGCTTGAGTTGAAGCAACTGAAACAAACTGGTTCAGTGAGGGAATTTCAATTTACTTTTGATAGGTTTGTTTTACAGTGCAGTTTATCAGTAGATCAAGCTATATCCTGCTTCTTAGGGGGATTGAAGGAGGAGCTAGTTAATCCTATTATGATGCATGAACCCAAAACACTCTCAAAAACCTATAGCCAGACTTGCTAAAGCTACCTTAGCAACTAATGCTCGCACCATGAAACATCTTCTTGTACCCTATCCATATACCAACAGAAAACCTTCTTATGAATTGCACCCTGCCAAAAGTCCTATCCAACAGTCCTTACCTACCAACAAATCCTGCCTCCTTCCAATACTTCCAACTCTAAAAATAGGAGAATGATTTCACCAGCTGAGATGTAGGCCAAAGGGGCTCAGGGGTTATGTTATTTCTGTAATGATAAGTATACACCTGGACGTAGGTGATCCTTACCTAAGAAGATGTTCATTATGGATCTAGAATATCCTGAGGGTGTGATAGAGTAGGATCCTGTTAAGTCGGAAGGGACTTCACTAACTGAGGAATGGACTGTGCCAAATGGAGACCCTCCCTTGATCTCCTTATGTGCTCTAAGTAGTCTTAAGGGGGCTCAAACTATCCATGTCATTGGTTATAATAATAAAAGACCTATTCATATACTGTTAGCTGGTGGAAGTACCCATAATTTCATTGATGTTGAGTCTGCACAAAGGTTGGGGTGTCATATTTCCCCAACTAAGCTGGGCTATATCAGTTTGGGCAACAATACTATGGAGGCTACTTCTGGTATAGTAAGGGATTTCCAATGGATGTTACAGTGAACTACATATACATCAGATTTGATTGCCTTCCCTGTTGGGAAGTATGACTTGGTTTTGGGGGGCCTATGGATGAAAACATTGGGTCCTGTTACTATGGATTACATTGAGCTTACTATGTCCTTTAACTACCAAGGCAAACATCATGTGTTGATGAGAGTCACTAAAAACTGCAAGCTTTCAAGCTCTAAGGCTATCAATAAGAGCTGCAGTGAAGAGGTCCAATTCTTTATGTTGCAAGTGGTTTCTCCTATGACTGTGAGAGAGTGTAACAACCACCTTAATGCTCTTCACTTGCCTGTTGATGAGCCTCTGCCAGATACCCTTCCGGAGCTGCTTGGACAGTATCAAATGCTTTTTAGAGAACCCACAGCTTTGCCTCCTCAGATGGGAGTTTTTGATCATAGAATTCCTCTACAAGAAGGGACTAAACCAATTAACATCAGACCCTACAGATACTCTTCTATGAAGAAATATATTATTGAGAAACTTGTGTTGGAAAAGTTACAACAAGGTGTTATCCAATATAGCAATAGCCCTTTTTCTTCACCAATGGTTCTAGTGGGGAAGAAGGATGGATCATGGAGGTTGTGTGTTGATTATAAGGAGCTAAATCAATGCACAATTAAGGACAAATTTCCTATTCATATCATTGATGACCTTTTAGATGAACTTACTGGAGCTACGGTCTTTTCTAAAATTGATCTAAGGTCAGAATACCATCAGATTAGGATGGTACCTGAGGACATTCCAAAAATTGCTTTCAAGACTCACTCAGGCCATTATGAATACATTGTTATACCATTTGGTTTGACAAATGCCCCTTCTACATTTCAATATCTTATGAATCATTTGTTCCAACAGTTTCTAAGAAAGTTTGTATTGGTCTTCTTTGATGATATTTTGGTTTATAGTATGCACCTGCAGGATCATGTACAACATCTCCAACAAGTATTTGAAGTCATGAAATCTAACATTCTATTAGCTAAACACTCTAAATGTGTTTTTGGAGTGGCAAAAATGGAATACTTGGGTCATTTTATCTCTGTTGCAGGTGTTTCAACTGATCCAAAGAAAATCTTGGTTGTTCAACAATGGCCTGTGCCTACTACTCTGAAGCAACTCAGAGGTTTTCTTGGTCTTGCTGGGTATTATAGGAAGTTTATCAAGAATTATGGTCTTATTAGCCAACATCTCACTGAATTACTCAAGAAGGATAGCTTCAAATGGTCCTCCAGCGCTGAGCAGACATTCATTGCTCTTAAGAAGGCATTAACCACTGCTCCTGTCCTAGCCTTGACCAACTATTCTACCCCATTTTTGGTTGAAACTGATGCTAGTGGCATGGGTATTGGGGATGTTCTTATGCAGGAAGGTCATCCTGTGGCCTTTATCAGCAAAGGTTTGGCCCCTAGACATGCTGCTCTTTCTGTTTATGAGAGGGAACTTCTGGCACTTGTTTTTGCTGTAAGCAAGTGGTCTCATTACCTCATGGGATAGCATTTCATTATACGAACTGACCAGAATGCTTTGAAATATCTACTTGAGTAGAAAACTCATACAGATTCTCAAATCAATTGGATAGCCAAGCTTTTACCCTTTGATTTTGAAATCTAATATAAGAAGGGCAGGGAGAATATAGTTGTTGATTCCTTATCAAGGGTTCAAGGTGCTGAACTAATGTCATTGTTGGTTTCTTCTGTTTCCACTGAATTGTGGGAAGAAATCACAGCCATCTGGTCTTCTGATCCTGAGCTAAGCTCCCTAATTTTGTCCTTATAACAGGCCCCTCAGAAACATTTCACCTGGATTAACCATCAACTTAGAAGAAAGGGGAAGTTGGTGATTGGTAATAATGCTGCTTTGAGAACTAAGTTGCTTATCTTATGGTATTCAACCCCCACGGGTGGCCACTCTGGGTTAGATGCCACCACCAGGAAGGTGCTCACTTATTTTTATTGGAAGGGCATCATAAAATACAGTGCAACCTTTATTCTTAATTATACTACCTTCCAAAGGAACAAGTATGATGCATCAGCCTCTCCTGGCCTTCTTAAACCTCTTCCTATTCCTCCCTTACCTTGGACTGACATTACCATGGACTTATTGAGGGTCTTCCAAAGTCCAAAGTTAAGACAGTCATTTGGGTCATAGTTGATCGTTTAACCAAGTATGGTCACTTCATTGCTCTCACTCACCCATACACTGCCCAAACCTTGGTTCCTATCTTTTTGGATAACATTTTTAAACTACATGGGTTCCCTGCTTCAATTACCAGTGATCGAGACCACATCTTTATCATCTCCTTTTGGAAAGAGTTCCTTACAACTCAAGGCATTACCTTGCAGACTTCTACTGCTTACCATCCTCAAACGGATAGTCAGAGTGAGGTGCTCAATAGGTGCCTTGAAACTTATTTGAGGTGTTTTTGCACTGACTCCCCTACAGATTGGTCTTCCTTCTTACCCTTAGCTGAATGGTGGTACAACTCCACTCCACACTCCTCCATTAAAACCTCTCCCTTTGAACTTTTACATGGCTATCCTCCCCCCTTACACCTATCCTTCCTTCCTGGTGATATTGAGTCTTCTTCTGCTGAGGACGTCTTACTCGCAAGAGAATTCAAACTTCAAATGGCCAAGTTTCATTTGCATAGGGCTCAGCAACGAATGAAAGCTCAAGCTGATGCTCATCGATCTGATAAGAGCTTCAATATTGGGGATTGGGTATTTGTTAAGTTACAACCTTATCGACAGTCCTCCTTAGCTGGTTCTACTTATCACAAGCTCACCTCTCGTTACTTTGGCCCCTATTCCATTGTTGAAAAGAATGGTGTTGTTGCCTATAATCTCTTGTTACCTCCTGAGGTTCTTATCCATCCCACCTTTCACATTTCCCAGCTCAAACTCTGCCATTCTCTTCCTTCCGAAATTATTCATCCACCTGTCCTTGACCTTTCCAACCATCTTTGTCCAGTTCTTGAGGCTATTCTTGCTCGTCGTTTGATCAAAAGGGGAAACAAGGTTGTTGCTCAGTGCCTTGTCAAATGATCCAACTTAGATGCTTCTTATGCCACCTGGGAATTGTCTTCTGCCTTTCGTACTTATTTCCCAGATTTCACCCTTGAGGATAAGGGTGATCTTCAACAAGGGGGTATTGATACACGCATTGCAGCAACGTCCAACGTGGCAGCTGACTTGGCGGTTGAGTAGGATTATATAGAAGTTAGTTGAGTAGGATTATTTGAAAGTTAGTTGGCGTGAAAAGTAGTTAGTTGCAATTCTCTATTTTTCAGCTTGTTTTCAACTTCATTTTAATTCCCATTTGTATAAGTCGTGAATTGTAATAGATGGAAGATTATTCTGAATAGAAAATACTGATTTCCCATCTCTCTTCTCTCTCTGATCTCTCTCTCCTCTTTTCCTCTATTTCCCTTCTCTGTTCCTTCTTCTTCTTCCTTCATTTCACTGTCTATCGCAATTTGATACCTTATCGGTATCATTCAATTTATAGTCTTCTTTATTTATGAGATCACAAATACATGTTTCGCTTTGTACCAATTTGAAAATTAAGCCTATGGAATAGAATATTTATGGCATCTTTGATACTATAAATTGGTGAAATTGGATATATTCACCAGCACAGTATGTAGCGCAATCATTGCTGGAATTACTCGGATTTCCAACGCCCGTTTTAGTCAAAACCCCCAGTATATTGACAACTTACTCCGGAAATCATCGGGAGAAATTCAAAAATAGCCAGATTTACGAGTGGTTATTCAAAAATAGCCACAAGTCATCGAAATTTAGCCACTTTTCATGTAAAAATAAATCTGAACGAAAACACTATTCAAAATACGGAAAATACTCCAACATAATATACTGGAATTCCAGTATAATATACTCGAACTCTAATATAATATACTGGGTTCCAACATACTTTGCTGGAAATCCAGTATAATATACTGGAGTTCCAGCAAAGTATACTGAAACTCCAAACTCCAGTATACTGGAGATCCAGCAAAATATACTGGAACTCCAGTATTATACTGGCACAGTAAAGTATACCGGTGCAGCATAATATGCTGGAAGTTCATACACACGTGTACCGAACTCCAGTATATTATGTTGGACCGGTCTCTGTTGCAGCAAAATAGTGGCTATTTTTCAATGACTTGTCACACGTTGGCTATTTTTGAATGACCAGTCCGAAAACTGGCTAGCCCGTACTATTTTGACGAAAGCATCCGTCGGAAGAATGGAGTGTTGCGCAAGAGGTAAAAATGGACAGCCCGATACATACAGTATCTCGCATTCATGCAAGATCCGAGGAAGGCTGCACGGCTAGGAGTGTTACGCAAGAGGTGTTTGAGAAAAATGATAACATCAGGGGCACTACTTTTCGCCGTGACACCTCTTCGTCAAAAAAATTAATTAGATATGTGTATAAATTTAATAAGCAAAATAAAAATATTGGTATAAATATAAAAATAATACTGTTTTTTTCTTTCTGAATTCGCTTAAGAAAAATTCTCTATACGCCATTGTTGGGAATAACGGCATTGAAATTAGTGTGTGGAGATTTTTCAGTAACAAATAGTGAAGACTTCAATGCTATAATCAAGAAGGAAAGGAAGAGAAGAGATGACCAAGACTTGAAAGACTACTGAAGAAGAAAGTATCATTCGAAAAAGGGTTAGACTTCTTGGACAAACTTGAATGTATTTTCTTGGAAAGAAGAGGAAGAAAGGGAAAATTTGTTTAATTATTATTATTTTTCATTAAAGGTTAATAAGTTAAATTATTTTTTGCTAAAAATCAAAATAATGTAAGAGTAATATAGCAAATTATAAAAGAAGTTATTGTTATAAAATCAAATCTGGAGAAAGCTTTCTAAAATCATACATTTTTTTTATGAGTATCTAGTTGTATTTCCAAAGAAAGTTAAATAATTAATGTCTAGAAAGTCAGTGTATTATACCCTTCGGGGTTGCCCAGTTTTTCTGGGATCGAATCCCCCCTCAATGCCTTTTGGGTTGAGCTTGGCGTACAGGTTTTTGCCTAGTGCGATTTACATCCCCTATGTGATTTGCAGGCTATTACATATGGGGAGGTTTAACCAGTGTGTACAAAGTGCTCATCCAAAGGACAAAGACTGTGGCATAGATAGTAACGGCTGCGAATTTCTCCCTCTTACCAAAAAAAAAGTCAGTGTATTATATTATACACATTCTTACTGGAAAATATAAAAGGAATAAAAAGGAGTATATCACACGAATCTTCTTAGATATAGTAGTTCCTTCAATTTTATAATTATATATCCATTTCATTTATGGAAAGTGAAACTCAACTTTCCAAAATGTTGCATTTCATAATCTTGTATTTAATAATTGTATCAAGAACTCACCTTTTCCACTGCCCCACCAATACACTCCCACTTTCCATTTTTTTGACTTTCCATATTAATCTTAACATACAAAATTTTACCTATAAAATGCTACCAACAATGTCTCCTCCCCATCATTTCTCATTATTATCCAAAATCTTGTCAACTCTCCAAATATCTAGCCATGAAGATTAATACTAAATCTTTCAATCTTGTTCCTACATTGGTCTTTTTAGCTTTGTTTCATCTTTCTTTGGTTTCGTGCAATAAATCCATAGGCAGCCATAGTGCAAATGGTTTCACTCTTGATCTCATCCATCGTGATTCTCCTCTTTCACCGTTGTACAATCCGTCAAACGCTCCATATGACCGTCTCCAAAACGCCTTCCAACGGTCATTTTCTCGAGCTTCTTTCTTCAAGAAAAACTCCATTAATACAATCCAATCGACTATTGTCCCAATCCCAAGTGAATACCTTATGAAAATCTCTATCGGAACTCCAGCAATAGATACCCTTGCCATTGCTGACACTGGTAGTGACTTAACATGGATACAATGTGAGCCTTGTGTTGAATGTTTCAAGCAAATGGCACCTATTTTTAATCCCAAAAATAGCTCTTCTTACAAAACAATTGGTTGCAAAGAAAAAATATGTCAAGAAGTAGGATCTTCTGCATGTAAAAATAGCATATGTGGTTATGAAGTGACTTATGGTGACCATTCTGAAACTAGTGGTGATCTTTCTAGTGAAACTTTCACATTTGCTTCTAATTCTAGTCAAAATGTCTCAATTCCTAATATCATCTTTGGTTGTGGACATGACAATGGTGGCACATTCCCAAACACCACTTCTGGCATTATTGGCTTAGGTGGTGGCACTGTCTCAATTGTCAACCAAATGAATCAAGAAATCAAAGGGAAATTCTCTTACTGTTTAATTCCATTGGAATCATCATCAACTAATTCCAATGCAACTAGTCACATCAACTTTGGCGACAGTGCTATTGTAACTGGTCCTGGCGTCGTTTCAACTCCCTTGATAAAAAGCGAAGAGACAGAAACATTCTACTTTCTAACTTTAGAAGGTATCACCGTTGGGAATAAGACTTTGCCATTCAAATATTCTTCTAAACTCAGTTCCAACGATCAAGGTAACATTATAATTGATTCAGGTACGACACTTACGCTTCTCCCTTTCGAGTTTTACTCTGATTTGGAAAAACAATTGGTGGCTTCGATAAATGCTACTAGGAAGGACGATCCATCAGGACTTTTTAAGGTATGTTACGAGTCTAAGAATGGCACTATCGATGCTCCCAAACTTGTCGCACATTTTACGAATGCAGATGTAGAGTTGTCGCCAATAAACACATTTACACAAGTGGCTGAAGGTTTGGTTTGTTTTACAATATTGCCAGAGGTGGATATTGCTATTTTTGGGAACTTGGCACAGAGGAATTTCTTAATTGGATATGATCTTGTGGCTAAAAAAGTTTCCTTTTTGCCTACTGATTGTACTAAGCATTAAGGGTTTACAGTAAAAGCTGTGGATAGGGGGTGACAAGTTATACATGTAATGAATTTGGCTTGGTTAGCTAGTATTCTTTTATTCCCCCTTTGTTTGCTGGTCTTTTAATGTTGTTAGCAATACTACAGGTATTGTCAATTCTTGGAAACTTATATGTGCTTAAAAGATTGAGAATGTGTTCAATGAGCACTTATTTTTTGTCTCCATATTTTGTTTATATTTTTCTTGTTTAAATCTTACTATATATGAGTGAAGAAATTAGTCAAATGAATATATGATCAATCCAACTCATTCAAATTTGGATGGGTTGGGTTGGTTTGGACTTCTTGCTAGAGGAGAAGTTCAAAAATAGCTAGATTTACCCGTAGTAATTGAAAAATAGTCACAGTTTCAAAAGTAACCGAAATTTAGTTACTTTTTATGTAAAGATATTTGAACGAAAACATTGTTTAAAATTCAAAAAATATTCCAGTATAATATACTGGACTTCCAACATAATATATTGGAGTTCCAGTATAATATACTGGGCTTCCAACATAATATACTGGAGTTCCAGTATAGTATACTGGTCCAGCATAATATGCTGGAAGTCCATACACAGGTGCTCCAATCTCCAGTATATTATGCTGGAATTTTCTGTGTGTTTAAGTTCCAGCATAATATGCTGGAAGTTCATATACGGGTGCACCAATCTCCAATATATTATGCTGGAACTTTCCGTGTTGCAGTAAAATAGTGGCTATTTTTCAATGACTTTACAAATGTTGGCTATTTTTCAATTACATGTCCGAAAACTGACTAGTCTGTGCTATTTTCACTCTTGCTAGTGTGTTGATTCTCATGGCAAAATGTGAAAAATACAAAAAGGAGTAACTAATGACATAAAAGTAATTTTTAGATATGGAGGATCCAGTATATAATATTTATGGCTTCCTGCAACAATTTCAAATAAATTTTCAATAGTAATTGGGTTCACATTCAAATATTTATAGATTTTTAGTGAATTTTTTGAACAAATTTATACTGTTTGAACAAAAACTACTTGGCTCACGTGAACCCATAGGTCGCAATGTGGATCTGCCCCGAGTAATATTGTAGTACTAATTAATTCCATCAATCTAATTCTTTTACCTATAAAATGTACTATAAAGGCTACTCTTAATCATTTCTCAACATTCTCCAAAATCAACTCTCCAAATCCCCAGCCATGGAGATATACTAAAGCTTTCACTCTGATCCCTACATTAGTCTTTTTAGTTTTCTTCCATCCTTCTTTGGTTTATTGAGCTAAAGGAATTCCCTAGCCCTTCAAGTTTACATGTTGATCCCTCTATGATGGCATTCTTCTTCCTCTCCGATTTTACGATATTATTCTAGCAAAAGCTAGTGATTAGCTGACAGTATCGTATCTCGGCTAAGGGCCGACTCCACTACTTAAGATTGTCGAATCTAATCTACTTTCTATGACCTAGCTTCTGGTATTTGAACCAGTTACGTCGATTGCTGAACCTGACTTTACTTTCCTTTTTCGTTGGGGGTCACAATCTTCCTTATTTGGTCAATTCCTGCATAAAGGTAGGGTTGGGCAGTAGCTTTACCCGTTGTCAGAATCGAATGTAGCCTTTCATTTGAAAAGGTGAGTAAAGAACGATTTCACAAAGTTTATAATAAAATAGTATGCGTTGTAAAAGCGTAAGAGCTATATAGAACCACCTTTGGCCGGTCTCACATCTTCCCATCCTCTACTTAGTTGAAATGGGAAATGGCTTCACTCTTGTCTCTTCCATCGTGATTCTCTTCTTTCGCCTTTTTTACAATCTATCAATAATGACACATCGTTCGATAACTATACTTTTAGAGTGATTGACTTAAATAGGTGGTGGAGAAGTGTCAATTGTTAACTAGATGAATCAATTAGTCAACGAAAAATTCTTTTATTGTCAATCAGATAAATCAATTAGTCAATGAGAAATTCTCTTATTGTTTAATCCTATTGAAATTATCAACTATTTATTCCAATGAGACTAGTTACATAAATTTTGGTGACAGTGTTGTCGTGCCTGGCCCAAGCATCGTTTCAACTCTCTTGATACAAAAAAAAAAAAAAAATGTATGCTATTCAATATTCCACAAAAACAAATTCTAGAAAGAAATAGGGAAAAAGAGAATTCAAGAGGCCTATAAGTTAGGGATGGGCATATATCGGGTATAACCGATAGCCCGAATCAATAAAATGCTATTGGGTTATCGATATCGGGTTATTGGATAAATAATACAATAACGGTTTAATGTTATTTGACTATTGGGTTATCAGTTCGGGTTTCGGTTTGCCTAATTTTATTAACGGTTTAATCGATAGCCCAATAAGCTTTAACGAAATTATAATTTTACCCACTAAGTATATAAAGCCACCTTATCGCTTCATTCTATCGTTCTCTCAATATCTTTCGGTAGTTACTCTTCATCTTAAGACCTTTATCCTTAGAGTAAGTTTTAAACTTTTCTGAATTTCTCATCTTAATTCTTCAACTAAGATTTTTAGTTCTAAATTTTAAAAGAATTAATAGTTCAAATTTTTAGTTTTTCTATTTGTTTCTTTTGTTGTACTGATTCTTTAGTATTTATAAGATTAGGATTTTATTATTTTCATGTGAATTATGCCTGCTCGCAATGAGATAGTTAGTAAGATTATATTGTTGAATGTCTTATTCCTTACTCCTACTAATGTATAACTTTGAAAATTCAGATCATTCATTAAGATTTTCAAATGCAAAGAAAGTTTTATTTTTTTAAAGTAGAAATTTAATCCCTCTTTTCTTAACAGCTTGTTTGGATGGTTGTTACGCATTGTTTCATAATGTATTGTATCGTACTGTATTGTATTGTACTGTATCATTTGATAAATACAATGTTTGGATAGATTGTGTCGTTTGCCATCGTTTCATGCTATCACCAGCAATATGAAGAATAAACTTGCAATATTATAAAGAGAAATTATGATACATGATAAAAATACTATATAAAAAGGTAGGGTAAATGATAAAATAAAATAATTTAATAATAATAAAAGATGAGATTGAGAGAAAAAGACAAGGTAACGACGCGACCACACCAAATCGGTCGTTACATAAAGTGGCACATTTCGCCGTTATGTAACGACGGATTTAACGATACGATACAATACAATTAAAGTAACAATCAAAACAAATATTGTATTTAAAGTAACAATACGATACGATACAATGGGTAACAACCATCCAAACAAGGTGTAAGACAAAAATTCAGTTCCATTCTCTTAATAGTATGATCACGATTTCTATAAATATGAATTTTTTTGGAATTTTTTTATCTTATCTGGTAAACCAATAAGGATCGATACCCGACTAACCAATACCCGATAACCGATAACTTATCATTTCAGTTATTGGTTTAGCATATTTAAAGACCAATAATTGATATGCCAAATCGATAATATTCACAACCGAATCAAACCGACCGATGTCCACCCCTACCATAAGTATCAAAATAAAGATAAAGACGACTGTGCCAACTTGATATTTTGGTATTATCGCCACAAAGAAGAGCTTTTGAATTTTCCAGAGAAGATGGGATCAGACTATTCCATACCTGTTGCAACAAGTATTTGGGTGTTTTTGCTTGAGCTGTACGAGATGAAAGTCTCATATACGGTTATCAGAGTGGGAGTTCTGCCTATCTCAATAAAGTATATGATTGGTTCGAAGAACTTCTCGATATTCAAGTTTTCGAGAGCTTATTGACCCACAAAAGCTTTATGACCGATTTCTTTGAGTTAGATTCTTTTTTGTGCGTGATAGAGGTCAAGTGTACCCGTTATGGACCAAAATTGGTAGCTGATTCTTTCGTTTCTTTGGGCCACTGGCCACATACCGGGAGTTTCGGATTTAATACCGATATTTTAGCAACAAATACAATAAATTCAAGTGTAGTGCTTGGTGTCAAATACCACTATTTTTGGTTTTGAATCTTCCAAATCATTCCCGCAGGAGATCCGGACCCATTTTTTTTTCTTAATTGATCCGAACATAAGGATACTTTATTTATTTGTCATATATTCGCTAGGTGTTTATGGAATTATTATAGCAGGTTGGTCTAGTAATTAGGGGGCGACCGTTCGGTCGCCTATGAAAAAAAATCTAATGAATTATGAGTTCAATCCATCTTGTTTAGCAAAAAGATGGATATTCCTTACTCATTACCAGACAATCACTTATTCACATTGACAAAGGTGGATCTATTGACCGGTCATGTCATATAGGCCCGAGTTCGACATTCAATTGCTTCAACTTGAATTATCCGGAGAATGCAATGTTGCACTAAGCTGTTTGGCCAACTTGATCCTCTTCCTAGAGATCTCAGATGAAGGAACCCTGGGATCAGAGCCGTCGACTCCAACTACCATCCTTGTACGATCCATACTAAATCAAATTCTTGAATAGCAAACAATCAGTTCAGATATTCACGACCAAGAAGGAAGTTGTAGTTATTATTGCGTTTCAATCGATTGGAGAACTGGATACTCAATTAACATTAAGAACTTTTCATACCGGAGGAGTATTCACGGGGGTACTGCAGAACATGTGCGAGCCCCATCTAATGGAAAAATCAAATTCAATGAGGATTCGGTTCATTCAACACATACACGTCACGGGCATCCCACCTTTCTATATTCTATAGACTTGTATGTAATTAGACCAAAAAAAGGAGAGTGGATTAGTTGGTTTATCAGTCAAGTATAATTGATAATCCTTTTTTCAAATATGAATTTGAATAGATTCTCTTTAATATTATAAATATAGTTTTTTTCTTCTATAGTAAACTAAATTATGATCAAAGAACCATTATAATTGATTCTGGTTCAATGTTGACGTATCTTCCTAACAATTTTTACTCAAATTTGGAATCAACGTTAGTGCCTTCGATCAATGCTACTAGGAAGGACGATCCATTTGAGTTGTTTA